TATATATATATATATATATATATATATATATATATATATATAGTCAACTTGCTGGTGATGCTTTCAGCTTCAGGTAGATGTTGCTGTGTTAGTTGTCAATATCGGCCGTCTACTGTGCCATTTTCGGTGAACGAACACAGATATTTGCTGGCTGTCGTGGATGTAGTTGTACCCTACAAGAAGTGGTCGTTTTTAGAATTCTCTTGTCCCTTCAATTACTTGTGATAAATACGAAACTGAACAGAATTAATTCTTATTGTTGAACCACCTGAGTAAATGAATTTTGTGGAAACTGGAGACAATTTCTATTGCGTTGTTTACTTCCGCTTTATCTGTTCTTTTTCTGCAATAGAAGACATAACCAGAGGAAGCCTATTTAAATTACCAACTGGGTTATCAAGTTTCAGGTTCCGAATTGCGAAATAAATATTGCCACTTTTGTTAGGGTCGCACCCTGCGCGATTTGACTTCCAACATCGAACATAGGGACTTATTTTTGACAACTCAAAGTTGAATCTCAAAGTATGACAGATCAGTAAGTGTATGGCCTAAGACGTGGGCACACAGATTCTACCATGGAAGTCAAAATCATTATGCAAAGGCACACATTAGATTGTTTCTACTTGATTTCAAAGGCGTTTAAGCTGTGGTGGAAATTGTGCTGGTGACCACGCACCACCACTGGCTCACCCAGTTACGATTTTCCCGTGATTGTTTCTCGGAGTAGGCAAACTCCTGTCCTCCTGCTGCAGTAGAAAGTGCGAAGTTACTCCTGATCGACTTGCTATACGGCTACTCAGAATGCACTTAGTTAAAACTCCCGGTATGGCTAAACCCTGAGGACCTAGGTTCAATCTAATATACTTCTTAGCGACATTACATCTCGGAAACCCCACCTCATGACAGTATGGAAATCGTATGTAGGCTCCTAATTTGCCAACATATGAGGAACTCACGAAATATGGTATTCGCTTTGGCACTATATTTGTAATTCCCCTAAAAACCAAACATTCAACATTTTGATCAGAGGGCCTGTGGTTCCAAAATGATTGTACATTTTAAACTTCCCCTGATGCGTGCGTATAGAGCCCTGGGGATCGGAATAAGCGGAAGCGGCAGTTTGTTGTTTGGAGAAAAAGCTCTATTTGCCGATCATTTGCATTTAAAAGTGACGTAACTTTGACTACACTTTCACGTCCGTTGAACAATAATATTTCCAAGTTTGCATTGAAATCTGTTGCGGTGTTTTGGGATCTTTTTGGCAATTTACTATACATAACTGTTCAAAGGAAAACCTGTCACTGTTCCACCACGCCCAACAGTGTGTAGTTCCCAATTATACCACCTTATATACATCCGTTAATTTCCAACATATACACCAATCTATTACCCACACCCAAGTTACTACAATTTTCTATTCAGGGTCGACAAAGTAAGTAAACTATGTGGTAAAACTGGACAGCATGGCATGACAGGAGTAGTTTTTAACTGTTTTATAGACGATTCCAGACGGAGTCACTATAAAAATAGATCAACCATGCTACTGTGTTCTCAAACCTGACTGCGTGTAGCAGCCCACTTTAGGAAACTAACCCTCCTTACAGAAGTTACAAATTGATACGTACATGGAAGAATACGGTGAATAATTTAGCCAGTCACTCCGGTGATTTGTATTGACCAGATAAGGAAAATCACATCAACCACGAATTTTCTTTAGCCGGTGGGAAAGCAGGCTGTTCGGTGCTTGGCGAGTATCCGGGGCCAGGATAATCCATTAACAACCGAATACCGCACAGCTTCTTGGGTTCATCCATCTGCTGATTTTAATGTAGAAGAGCATGCACTTAGCGACAACCACAAGAGCCTTTATCTAAAAAGCCGTTGGATCAAACTGTTCAGTTGGATTCTTTTTAGCGCCCGGCCCTCTATAAAGATAGCTAGTGTGAGAAACCTTTGGCGCGAAATCATGATTTACTGAGCTTTTTTTCCAACATATTGTGTTCCACGCCAAAAATAACCTTGTGGATATGCATGGATTTTACTTCAATTGTGATGTGCACCGTTGTCGTGTAAACTTCATCAACTATCCCATTTTGAAGAGCTCCATGAACAGTGGTACCGAATTGTATCCATGGCCCCACCTAAGGAGCATAATGCTTTTATATGTAAAACTTTTGCAAGTGGTATAAAACTTCTTACGCCAAAATGTTGTATTTTGTTGGATATGAGCTCAAGCAAAAAATCAACCCAATCTACTTTCCTTTTGTTGCCATTTGTTTTAAGTAATATCCATTTTTTTACTTTTTTGGTGCCTGTTCGACTTTGAGCTTGCAATTCTTTGGTTTCCGAAGTGGCTTCACATATGTTTGCTGAGAAATTGATGACTGTATCCTTTCTTTTTTACAGCGTTTGAGAACGCGTTAAATGAATACATGAGGGATATTTATGAGGTATTTGTGCGTTCATTTAGTACTCGAAGGACGAGCGCTGTGTCGCGCTGCAAATGGGTACACTACAAGAAGGCAGGCGGCTAGCAAGACAAACGGAAAGTTGAGGAGTCCGAAGGAGCCAGTAAATTGGGCGTCTTTCTCATTAAAAACAGTACACAAGGCGCCGGTTGTCCAGTACGTTTTCGTCTAAGGAGACAGGAGAACCATCTCTTGGTCACCTCTTACTAGCTTGAACACAACCTTAA